CCCTCCCCCACCAACACCCCATTCCTTTCTAGCACTGATGAGATTACTGCTAACATCCAGCTCAAGAATCCAAAATAAAACTCCAGGTTCGTTCCATCTTACTCTTTTTATTGAATGCACTGAGGTCGAAGCAAAGCTTAACTCTGAGGTTCCAACCCCAATTCATAGAGCAGGGGTCTTCAAATGTGGCCCTTTTCCGACTTGTGGACTTCAACTCCCAGAATTCCTCAGCCAGCGTGCACGCCGGCTGAGGAATTCTGGGAGTTGAAGTCCACAAGTCAGAAAAGGGCCACGTTTGAAGACCCCTGTCATAGAGTTAATCATTTTCCCAGCCAAACCCCCAACGTCTTCCGTAGTCCAGGGCTCCCATTGTATCACTTTTAGGATATGGCAACATCCGAGGACCACCAGTCGCCTAGCGAGGTGTCAAAAACTTGACAAAAAAAAAGTGATGAAGTACAGGTAGTCCTCGACTTACAACAGTTTGCTTAGTGACTGTTCGAAGTTACAATGGCTCTGAAAAAAGTGCCCCCCAAGCCACAGCCGAGCAAGACACCTACTTGCCCACCTGGTGGCGCTCTCCCTCCTCTCTGAGGTTTTCATTGTTGTGAGCATTTCTGTTGAGGATTGGCAGCGGGGGGGGGGGAGGTGTTTGGTTTTTATTCTCCCCCCCCCCGTCTGCTGGGTGGTTGCAGCAGGTTTTGGTTACTTCACATGACTCTGGGACAATGTGACCGTCATAAATAGGAATCAGTTGCCAAGCATCTGAACGTAAATCACAAGACCCTGGAGAGGCTGCAACATTCCAGCTGAATGGCGCTTCTTCTGGGCTCAGCAGAAGTGCCAGAATCAGTGCCGAGCTTCAGCTGGAGCCTGGCGCTGATCCTGGGGCTTCCGCTGAGCCCTGACAGCCCTGCAGCTCCAGCCGTCTCTCGCTCAAGCTTGTGCGGTGCTTCCACCAGTTCAACTCATTCCCCTCCTCCGCTACCATTTTTCTAGGATGGTCGTGTAGCACCTGCCAGGTGCCAATGTACCACAAGTGGTACCCGTACCACTGGTTTAAAAGCCCTGCCGTAGTCCATATAAACAGGTTCACTTTGTTATGGGAACAATCTGCTTCAAATCCACACCTCTTTTGGTGTCCTTGACAAGGCTTCAGGCTCTCCCGGGTCTTCAGCTAAATTGTAAAAGTTTCGTTTCTCCATCTAACCCACTTGAAAGTAACACCTCCCTCCTTACTCAAGTTGAAATGCCGAGGCACATAACTGCCAAAGTTTCATCTGTGGGTCATGAAACGTATGCAAGAGAACCACCAAGCTCAGAGAGCCTCCAACGGATGCCACAGTCCCTTTCCTCCTACTCCTCCCTGCTTACCCCACTCCCTTCTCGCACTGATGATGTTACCTAATTGGGTCCGGAATGTTTGCAAGAAAAGCACCAAGCTCAGAGTGCACCAAGGACCCCACAGTCCTCCCCCTCCCCACTCCCTTCTAGCATTGGTATTACCTAGTTGGGTAATACACCGTCTGCAGGAAAACCACCAAGCTCAGAAAGCACCATGAACCCCTCAATCTTTTTCCTCCTCCTCCTCCTTCCTCCAATCTCACTCCCTTTTAGCAATGATGCTGTTCCCTAGTTAGGTCCCGAAATGTCTGCAAAAAACCCCACCCAGCTCAGAGACCCCCAAGGACCCCACCGTCCTTTTCCTCCTCCTCGCCCTGATGCTGTTCCCTAGCCAGGTCCCGAAACGTCTGCAAGAGAGCCACCCAGCTCAGAGACCCCCAAGTCCTCCTCCTCCTCCTCACCCTGATGCTGTTCCCTAGTTAGGTCCCGAAACGTCTGCAAGGGAGCCACCCAGCTCAGAGAGACCCCCAAGTCCTCCTCCTCCTCCTCACCCTGATGCTGTTCCCTAGTTAGGTCCCGAAACGTCTGCAAGGGAGCCACCCAGCTCAGAGAGACCCCCAAGGACCCCACAGTCCTCCTCCTCCTTCCTCCAACCCCCCCCAACCTTCTAGTATTGATGCTGTTACCTAGTTAGGTCCCGAAACATCTGCAAAAAAACCACTCAGCTCAGAGAGCCCCCAAGGACCCCACAGTCCTTTTCCTCCTCTCACTTCTCCTAGCCCTGATGCTGTTCCTTAGCTGGGCCCTGAAACGTCTGCAAAAAAACCACCCAGCTCAGAGAGCACCCAGGACCCCAGTCTTCCTCCTCCTCCTTCTAGCCCTAACGCTGTTCCGTAGCCGGGCCCCGAAACGTCTGCAAGGGAACTACCCACCTCAGAGAGTCCCCAAGGACCCCACAATCCTTTTCCTCCTCCTCCTCCTCCTCCTGATGCTGTTCCCTACCTGGGCCCTGAAACGTCTGCAAAAAAACCACCCAGCTCAGAGAGCACCCAGGACCCCAGTCTTCCTCCTCCTCCTTCTAGCCCTAACGCTGTTCCCTAGCCGGGCCCCGAAACGTCTGCAAGAGAGCCACCCAGCTCAGACCCCCAAGGACCCCACAGTCCTTTTCCTCCTCCTCCTAGCCCTGATGCTGTTCCCTAGCCAAGTCCCGAAACGTCTGCAAGAGAGCACTGAGCTCAGAGACCCCCAAGTCCTCCTCCTCCTCCCTGATGCTGTTCCCTAGCAGGACCCTGAAACGTCTGCAAGAGAGCCACCCAGCTCAGAGAGACCCCCAAGGACCCCACAGTCCTCCTCCCTCCATCCCCCCCACCTTTCTAGTATTGATGCTGTTCCCTAGCCGGGCCCCCGAAACGTCTGCAAGGGAACCACCCAGTCAGAGAGCACCCAGGACCCCACCATCCTTTTCCTCCTCCTCTTCCTCCTTGTCCTAACGCTGTTCCCTAGCCGGGCCCCAAAACGTCTGCAAGAGAGCCACCCAGCTCAGAGAGGCCCCCAAGGACCCCACAGTCCTCCTCCTCCCCTGATGCTGTTCCCTAGCTGGGCCCTGAAACGTCTGCAAAAGAGTCACCCAGCTCAGAGACCCCCAAGGACCCCACAGTGCTCCTCCTCCCCCTCCTCCTGATGCTGTTCCCTAGCCGGGCCCCGAAACGTCTGCAAGGGAACCACCCAGCTCAGAGAGCACCCAGGACCCCACCGTCCTTTTCCTCCTCCTCTTCCTCCTTGCCCTAACGCTGTTCCCTACCCGGGCCCCAAAACGTCTGCAATAGAGCCACCAGCTCAGAGACCCCCAAGGACCCCACAGTCCTTTTCTTCCTCCTCCTCCTGATGTTGTTCCCTAGCCGGGCCCCGAAACGTCTGCAAGGGAGCCACCCAGCTCAGAAAGACCCTCAAGGACCCCACAGTCCTCCTCCTCCTCCCCCCTCATGCTGTTCCCTAGCCGGGCCCCGAAACGTCTGCAAGGGAGCAACCCAGCTCAGAGACCCCCAAGGACCCCACAGTCCTCCTCCTCCCCTGATGCTGTTCCCTAGCCGGGCCCTGAAACGTCTGCAAAAGAGTCACCCAGCTCAGAGACCCCCAAGGACCCCACAGTCCTCCTCCTCCCCCTCCCCCAATGCTGTTCCCTAGCCGGGCCCCGAAACATCTGCAAGGGAGCCACCCAGCTCAGAAAGACCCTCAAGGACCCCATAGTCCTCCTCCTCCCCCTGATGCTGTTCCCTAGCCGGGCCCCGAAACGTCTGCAAAAAAACCACCCAGCTCAGAGAGACCCCCAAGGACCCCACAGTCCTCCCCCTCCCCGATGCTGTTCCCTAGCCAGGCCCCGAAACGTCTGCAAGGGAACCACCCAGCTCAGAGAGCACCCAGGACCCCACCGTCCTTTTCCTCCTCCTCTTCCTCCTCCTAACGCTGTTCCCTACCCGGGCCCCAAAACGTCTGCAATAGAGCCACCAGCTCAGAGACCCCAAGGACCCCACAGTCCTCCTCCTCCTCCCCCCTCATGTGTTCCCTAGCCGGGCCCCGAAACGTCTGCAAGGGAGCAACCCAGCTCAGAGACCCCCAAGGACCCCACAGTCCTCCTCCTCCCCTGATGCTGTTCCCTAGCCGGGCCCTGAAACGTCTGCAAAAGAGTCACCCAGCTCAGAGACCCCCAAGGACCCCACAGTCCTCCTCCTCCCCCTCCCCCAATGCTGTTCCCTAGCCGGGCCCCGAAACATCTGCAAGGGAGCCACCCAGCTCAGAAAGACCCTCAAGGACCCCACAGTCCTCCTCCTCCTCCCCCCCACCGATGCTGTTCCCTAGCCGGGCCCCGAAACGTCTGCAAAAAAACCACCCAGCTCAGAGAGACCCCCAAGGACCCCACAGTCCTCCCCCTCCCCGATGCTGTTCCCTAGCCAGGCCCCGAAACGTCTGCAAGGGAACCACCCAGCTCAGAGAGCACCCAGGACCCCACCGTCCTTTTCCTCCTCCTCTTCCTCCTTGCCCTAACGCTGTTCCCTACCCGGGCCCCAAAACGTCTGCAATAGAGCCACCAGCTCAGAGACCCCCAAGGACCCCACAGTCCTTTTCTTCCTCCTCCTCCTGATGTTGTTCCCTAGCCGGGCCCCGAAACGTCTGCAAGGGAGCCACCCAGCTCAGAGAGACCCCCAAGGACCCCACAGTCCTCCTCCTCCCCTGATGCTGTTCCCTAGCCGGGCCCTGAAACGTCTGCAAAAGAGTCACCCAGCTCAGAGACCCCCAAGGACCCCACAGTCCTCCTCCTCCCCCTCCCCCAATGCTGTTCCCTAGCCGGGCCCCGAAACATCTGCAAGGGAGCCACCCAGCTCAGAAAGACCCTCAAGGACCCCATAGTCCTCCTCCTCCCCCTGATGCTGTTCCCTAGCCGGGCCCCGAAACGTCTGCAAGGGAGCCACCCAGCTCAGAGAGACCCCCAAGCACAGCCCCCCCCACCAAAGCTACCTCCTCCATCTTCCTGGCCTCAGCAGCGGGCCCTCCATGAAGGCGCCGTGCGGACGCCCCGACACGTGTCCTCCCCCGTTGTGCGTGTGTGCGTATACACGTGAGTATGAGAGCGTGTCCAGACGACCCCCCCCCAGCCTCACCTTTGAGCGAGGTCTCGACCAGGCGCAGGTAGAGCGCGCTCTGCTTGTTGCCGTGGCTCATGCGCTGCCCGAGCCCGTCGCGCTGCAGGACGCACTCCTCGAAGCGCACCACGTTGGGGTGGTGGCGGCGCAGGCTGGTCAGGGCCCAGAACTCGGTCAGGGCCAGCTCCACGTTCTCCGGCGCGTCGCAGCGCAGCCGCTTGACGGCCCGCCGGGCGCCGCTCCGGCCCGACACCGCCTCGTAGACCACGCCGTAGGCCCCGCGCCCGATCTCCGACACCAGGCGGTAGCGCGGCGGCGGAGGGGAGGCTTTTCCCGCCGCCGAGGCCTGGCTCGGCCGGCCTTCCATGGCGGAAGCCGCGGCGGCCCTCAGAGGCGGCGGCGGCGGCGGCGGCCGCTGGCGCTCGGCGCGCCTCAGGCGCCGCTCGGGCAGCCTTTCTGTCCCTCGGCGGCCACCGTCGCCGCCCGTTGCCATGGCAGCGCCGCGGCGGGGCCTAGCTGCCGCCGCCGCCGCCGCCTTTTTGGCCGACGTGGTCGGAGTCTCCGCGGGCGGGGAGCGCCCCTCTTCATCCCGCCCGCCCCGCCGGACCGGGGCTCGACGAAGGCTCACGTTCGCTGCTTTTCCGCCTCCCTCGCTCACTCGCTCGCTTCCTCAGCCGCCCCCGGCTGCGGGAAGGCCGGAGGACGGTAGTCGCCGAGCGGCTGAGGCGAAAAGGGAGCCGAGAGGGAGGGTAGAAAAAGCGCGCCTTGTCTTCTCCTTTAAAATGCGCCCAGCCAATCGGCGCTGCCGCCCGCCGAAAGGGGCGGGAGAGAGCGGATTGAACTATTTTTCCCGAAAGGAAAGGGGGGAAAAAAAAGAAATCATGAAATTCCCGCCCCACCTTAAGAGGTCTCGCCTCTTAAGTGGGGGGAGGGGGGGGGAATTTGACCTCCCTGACCTGGAAAACTATTATCAGGCCATAGTATTATTATGGGTAAGGGACTGGATATTACTAAAGAACAGGAGATTATTCTGTCTGGAAGGCCGTGGCTTACAAATAGGATGGCACTGGTACGTTATGGGATCATAAATATAAGACACGCAAATATTTTCGAAGGCATTATATCAGACAAGCTCTAATTCAGTGGTTCTCAACCTTTTTAATGCCGCGACCCCCAACCGGTCGTAAGTCGAGGACTACTCAACTGGTGCAGCACCGTTTGCAGAATGGGACTTTTGGCGGGCTCAGCAGGGCAGAGACAGCCTGGACAATTCCTATTGGATTTTGAAAGCCAATAGAATTAGACTCTATTCAAGAGAATCTATTCTATTGGCTTCCAAAAGCCAATAGAATAAAAGGGAGGAGCACAGCTAAGGAAAAGGGGGGAAAAATGGCGGACTGCATGGTTTGGCGACCCCAGTGAAATGGTCGTTCGACCCCAAATGGGGTCCCGACCCACAGGTTGAGAACCACTGCACTAATTCAATGGTTCTTAACCTGGGTGATATTGCCCCCCAGGGGGCAATTTCATTTTTCAGGGGGGCAATGGAACGAAAAGGGGGCGATATGGGGGCGATGGAGCAAGAAGTTTTGGGGACACTTTTGAGACTTTTTCGTACAGTGAATCGCTGCATATCTGTCGTACAAAAACATCAGATCGCTCGCTCTTAGTGGATTGAATGGTGTTTTCAAATGTTCCTCCAGTGAGCTTCAGTACAGAACGCCATACATATGTGAAGACGCATCGCTTATCTTCATGCGCGTTGCGCAGCAGCCTCTACCCATACAGTGGCGTGCCATTGGCCAGAATGGGCAGTGATGGAGGGGGGAGCGCTTCTTTCGAAACATCGCATGCCGAGTGGCTCTGTAAAACATTTTGTGTGTCTCTTTTTAGCGTGCACTCCAGTTCGATATTATATTTTCTTTGTGTCTTTTTAATCCTTTTTACAGTGTGCGTGACTATATATACTTTCCTCGAATCTTAATTGAGTTTCAGAGTTTTCGTCTTGAAGTTCTTAGTTGCTGCACTGCGGTTTGTTCTTATGCCCTTTTTTATATTTCTTTTTGCGTCTTAAATTTCACTTGTAATTCAATCATTAAATGTTACTGTTTTTCTTTTTGGGCATTTCAATTGAATTTTGTTTTCAGTGGTCATTACATTTAAGTGTCTTGAATAAAGAAGATAATAATGAAATATATGTATCACGAAGTTTAGGAATAAAGTGACCGGTAGCATCAAAATTTTTCACACAGTTGAGATATGGGAAAAAGACTGGAAATAAATTATTTGCATCGATATGTCCTGATGACAATTTTAAAGAAAACAAAAAAAGTGTTTGCATAAATTGAAGAATTATTTCCTATGAGAGGTTATGTTGGGGGAGGGGGGCGATGACAACTTCCTCATTGGCTCAAGGGGGCGATTTGTTCAAAAAGGTTAAGAACCACTGCTCTAATTGACGTATGGGTTTGAGGGAAGTTAGCCCAGAGAAGGAAATATTAAAAGGGCAGAAAAATATATTTCTCCTCCAAAGGATTTCTTTTTTAAACCAAACCTGGCCCCAAATCTATCTCTCTGCCCCAAGCAAGAGCTAGCCCCATACAAATGCAGATGTAAAACCATCAGAGAATTGAAGCCAGAGCACTCAAGAAGACATAGAGAAAATCTGCATGCCCCACCCAAACTCTAGGAGTCATGAGCCCCATCACCTGGGAAGCAGGATATGATAATAGGATTAAACCACAGATATCAAGGCTTAGAAAAACACTCAGAAATAGCCTCAAGGTTCATGCCACAGGAACAGGAAACTATTCCAAACAAGGCTTAGAGGGGGTATAAAAACCTACTGCCCATGTGCTCAACTCCTCTTTCCTCTCCTCTGCTTTTTCTTGCATCTTTCTGCTTCTTCAATAAACTGTAACCTTCTTCCCAAAGCAGTTGCCATGTTGCTTATTTATTCCCAGCTTGGATGAACCAGGATGAAGACTTACTTCTGACAGGTTAAAATCTGGCAACCAAATTATACTCAAGTCCCTAGTTGGATCTCATCGTTAGAAATGCATGTCCATCCAAAATTTATCCAACTAGGAAAGATTATAACATATAAAAATGTTCTAGAGGAGAGAGGGGAATTGAAATCCAGGAAAATTCTTCAAGACGAAGGGATAGAATTAGAATGGTGGGCATACCTTCAATTACAGGCGAGATAATGGAAAGATTTAAAAAGAGGCATAAAATTAGAACCGATAGGGCTGGATAAAATATTATTAGGTACGGAGGATAAAAGGATTAAAAAGCTATATCACTGTTTGTTAGATCAGGCAATGTATGAGGAACAAGTAAAAGAGACCATGTTAAAGTGGAGTAGGGATTTTTGATCTCAACTTTGATCTGCACATCTGGCAAGAACTATGGGTAAGAAACAGGAAGCTCACTCTGGTCATTTCCTATAAAGAAAATCTCTACAAAATGTTCTATAGATGGCATCTCCCACCCATAAGATTAGCTAAAATGGGTTCAAATGCTTCCTCCAAATGTTGGAAATGTAAATTGGCAACTGGGACATACTATCATATGTGGTGGGAGTGCCCACGAGCCCGTGACTTTTGGAATAAGGTTAAAAAATGGCTGGAAGAAATTTTAACGCTAGTGGTAGAGTTAAAACCAGAACTCTTTCTATTAGGCATAACCACGCAAAAATATGACAAAGGGGTATTCTATTTGATGTTACACATTCTCACGGCTGCTACACTGGTATACGCTCAAAACTGGAGGAATAAAGGAATTCCAACAGAAGAAGAGATTTTATATAAAATTTTATCATGTGCTGAAATGGATAGGCTCACAATGGAAATGAAGGCTAAGACAGAATCAAGACTACTTTGAAATCTGAGTTAAATTTTATTACTGGTATGAATTAAGAACTGCTCGGGCTTCAAACTAATGTTAAGACAGAAATATATATAACTGTATATATAATTGTACTGTATAGAAGAATAAGCTTATTTGGAGCTTAAGAATGATATATTAATTATATGTATTAAGAGGAACAAATTGTTAGGAATATTTATTCTGGAATGTCCCGTTTACGTCCATTTTTGTTTTAACTGTATTATAAATAAAAAACTTTTTTAAAAAAAAAAAAAGAACTCTCGCCTCTTCCGAAGTGTGGTCCGTATCTTTTCTTTTTCTTTCCAAAATCAAAACAACCGCCCTGAATGTCTCCGTAACGCCTAGCCCTAAATTTGCAGTGGTGGTGAAGAACAACCTCCCCCCCTTCGTTACAATGGTCTGCTCCCTTTCGCGGCAAATATTTCATTCATAGCTTCGGGAAGTGCGGAACAGTCCATTCCATCCAGGGAGGGGGGGAGGAAACGAGAGCGAATTCGCTGCTGTCCTGTCTCTTTTTAATTTAAACCATTCCTTAATCTTCATCCACAGGAGGTCGATATGCCGCCATCAGATCCAGATGCGGGGCAGCGGTCGGATTAAAGGAAATCCCCTCCCGTATTTGGGGTCTGTAGTGATCCGCTCTTCCCCCCCCCCCGCGTGCTTTGGAGATGCCGGTGCCCGCACTCGCATGAATGGAGGTTAGAGATGCTTTGCTGATTTGCAAGGATAGAGACGCCGAGCTGCAGCTGCTGCTGACCTCGGGGCGAAGGCAGAGGGGGGGGGGGGCGTTGCATAAGAACCCATTATGTAAGAGTTCCTGTCTCTCCCCGGAGGGGGGCGGGCAGGCACCTGCTAAGCCTCACGAAGAGCTGGAGGTCTGGCGGTCTAAGAGCAGCACCAATTATTCTTTTTCCAAATTGTTTGGAAAAGTCACTTTTTTCAAGCGTGCACTGTGCAGAAATGCAAACCAAGTACAGTATCGGCACAGTTGGCCCCACTTCTGTCAACAGGCTTAAGATACAGGAGGATCTGGACAGACGTGAACACTGGGCGCTAGCTAACAAAACGAAATTCAAGGGTGAAAAAAGGAAGGTTCTACATTTAGGCAAGAAAAACCAGGCATAGTTTAGGGGGTACCTTGCTCAATAGTAGTAACTGTGAGAGGGATCTTGGAGTCCTAGTGGACAATCCCTTAAATAGGAGCCAGCTGTGTGCTGCAGCTGTCAAAAAGGCCAACACAGTGCTAGGCTGCTTTAACAGAGGGAAAGAATCAAGATCACGTGAAGTATTAATACCACTTTACAAGGCCTTAGTGAGGCCTCACTTGGAATCCTGCATCCAGCTTTGGTCACCATGATGTAAACAAGATTTTGAGATTCTAGAAAGAGTGCGGAGAAGAGCAACAAAGATGAGTAGAGGACTGGAGGCTAAAACATACAAAGAATGCATGCTGGAATTGGATATGTCTAGAAAAGAAGCACTAAGGATTACATAATAGCAGTCTTCCAATATCTCAGGGGCTGCCCCAAAGAAGAGGGAGTCAAGCTATTCTCCAAAGCACCTGAAGGCAGGACAAGAAGCAACGGATGGAAACTGACCAAAGAGGAGAGAAGCACCCTAGAACAAGGAGGAATTTCCTGACTGTGAGAACAATTAATCAGTGGAACTGCTTCCTTAAGAAGCTGTGGGTACTCCATACTGGAGGTTTTTAAGACGAGATTGGACAGCCATTTGTCTGAAATGGTATATAGGAGAGGTAGGCAACCTTGGCCCTTTTATGAGTCGTGGACTTCAACTCCCAGAATTCCTCAGCCAGGCACATCTGCTGCTGCACACGGCGGCTGATATTTAAAGGATCATCC